CTAATAAGGTGTAATTATAATAAAGCGATGTAATTGTGTGTGTGTGTGTGGTTCATAAAGTGGCCTTGATAGTGTTGTATATTAAGGTTAAGTAAAGGTAGCATGGTCGCAGGAGAGATTAAAGCTCATTTTAGTCGGTTTATGATGTGAATGAATTCAGATAGCACTGGGAGTCATTACATATTTAAACAGTATTAAATGTTTCTTTTTATGAAAATCTTAATTATGACATTCTCTGAAATCTGATTTCATAGTATTAAAATGAAGGCTTTAAGGAAAAGCATTAAATGCTAATGAAAGCTTTATTATTTCAGTATATATTCTCCTGGGCCTTTGGTCAAGGTAAGTAATGATCAGATGAATGAGCTGGCAACCTTCCTGGCCTTGGAAGTCTACTAGTAATTGGAAGCTAAGTAACACACTGTGACATGTTTAAATGTATTTAATAATATTCCACCAACTTCTCCCTCTCTTGCTGTCTGGGCAATGAAACACCATGGCATTTTAACACAGATGAGGAAAGCTAGCTTTTTGTTGGAAGAATTTCTGGAAGTTATCCTTACTCAGCAGACAGAAGACATTGTTTGCCGCCATCACATCAGCCTCCCTGAGTATGTCTGCTCCTCATCCTCCAGGGAAGTTTTGATTTAAATGTTCTCCATCCACTCCAATTTCCAACGATCTGATAAATGTTGCTTGGGGGGGGGATGAGGGTGAGGAGGGGGGATACTTCAGTGCTCTATTCTTCAGACTTAGAACCACAAAACTCCAATGTCTGAGCAGGCAGAGTTAATGTAATCTTCAGGTAATTAGAGGAGATGCATAATTTAATGAGGGGCTGCAGTCTCAGTAAGGTTCTACCACTGTGTACATATCAAACCCTTCAAAAACATGAGTAAAATATTTTGAAGGCAGAATTCGTAAGATTTCCCAAAAAGGTCTGGTTTACAGGCAGATCTGAAAACATTAAAAACCACCACCACAACAAACTGCTCCTTCGCCCTCTACCCCAAGAACTTTGGATTTTGAAAAAACTTTGAAATGAACAGAAACTACTTTGGATTAATACTCTTTTTGGAACAATCAAGACCTTCATGCGACCACTTGGGCTTTGCATTCTACCAAATACTATCTAGAAATACACATAAGGTCCAAGGCTGCAGCAAGTCTTGCCCAACCTGGGTGCTGCTGTCTCCCAGTGCCCAGAGCAGCGCCGGGCCTCTAGGAAGTGCCTCAAGGCTATCTGCTGAAGGAATGCACGCTGCTCAAGGATTCTTACAGAGAAGCATCTGTAATCTAGTTCTTCTTCGAGTTCCGCCTGTAGCTCCTCCGCTCCCACAGGGTACTGAGGGCCAGGGTGGCCTGCCAGATCTCCCTAGCACTTTCTCCAACGGCTGCATTTCCAAAGTCATGCAGAATCCACCCATTCTTTGAGGATGATCGTAAAGGGTCCCCCATAGTACCTTCCACCCTTTCTCACAGTCTACTGTTTACCAGTCTCCTGTTCATTCTCCAATATTTACTAAGAATTCCAGCTCCTTATGCAGTCTTGTCCACATATCGTCACCTCAGGGAATGAAGACGACCTAGCCACTTACTCACCTCATCTGTCATCTTCCCTGACTTCAATAACCACCATCTCCACTCCGGGATTCTCCTCCTACAACCGCACACTTGGTACTGATAGCACAACGTAATTAATACAATCACTGATATTGGAGGGCTTATTATGCACTGGACACTGCTCAGTGCCAAAAGGCCTTCTCTCATTTAAACTTCCCAACAACTCCATGAAGACATTTAGATAGAGGTTTAAATAAACTTTTACATGTCATTTAGTTCAGGAGTGATTTCCACCCAGGTCAGTCAGACTCTTAACCATCCCACTGGGATGAAAAGAATCAAGATTTAAACCCCAAATCTGCCACTCTGGCACACAGAGTTTCTGACCTTGAACAAAATAAAAACCTAAGTCTCAGTTTTCCAATTCATAGAATACTGGCAGAAATAAAGAATATATATTAAGTACTTCCTTAGAACAGTGCCTGACACACCACAAATGTGTGTTTCATCCATCCTCCCAGCAAACGCTTCATGAACACCTCCTAAGCATCTAGTCCTATGGTAGGTACTGAAGATACAGCAGTGAATAAGACGATCAGGGTCCCTGCCTTCACAGGTCTACCCAACCCCTGCTGGGTGCTCAGTAATAAAACACTTGATGGAACAAGCCCTCAAGGAGGTCTGCTAGCCTCTACTCTGCCTCTCTTCAATCAGCCACACGTAGTCAGTGGATTACAAAATCAACTTAGCGGTTGGAATCAGTGATTTGGAAAACAAAAACAAAATTGCATTACCCAAACTAATGGCTAAGTATTAGTATACAAAACCTGTTACACATGCACACACAGACACTCACCTACTGAGCTGTGATATATATACATTGTATTTCTTAACATAGATCATGGCCAAAATGGTTTGAAAGCCATTGCTTTATACTCTCCAGTAGCCTCAGTTCCTTCCATGTATCCTCTATCACATAAAACTCTATTCACATTCAAGCCACTTGCAGATCCCCAGGACCACTCTGCTCCTCTATTTCTATGCCTGTAAGTGCACAGAGCTAGACACCAGGAATGCAGTTGTAAGAAAAACCAAAATTGTGCTTACATGGTATTTAAGAATCTAGACAAATATTACACTAATCACACTACATAACTGCTATGTAACTGTGATATATATATAAGTAGTCTAGATGAAACAAATATGGACTTTCAAGAACATGTACCAAAGGCCATTAGTCTAGGGAGAGAAGAGAGACTTCCCTGAAGAAGAATCAATCAGCAGAGATCTAAATAATGTCAGAGTTAAGTAGGGATAAGGGTAGAGGAAGACCATTCCAGACAGAAGATAGGCAGGCCTCAGATGAGAGAGGACCTGGCACGTTTGAGGAACTGGAAAAAAGGCCAGCGTCCTGGAGACCAGAGAATGAGTGGGAAGGTAAAATAGGACAGAACTGCAAAATCTGGCAGTGGCAAGACCAGGTGGGGTCTTATGGGCTAGGATTGTGTTTTCTGTCCTCACAGTAATGGGAAGCCATGGGAGGATTTAAACAGGAGATGATGAAATAGGATTTGTAAAGACACTACGTCTGCAGTGTGGAGGATGGGACAGAGGAAGGAATGACTTCAGGGGGACCAGTTGGGATGCTAGCAGAACAATCTAGATGCGTAGTGATAGTAAATTAATTTAACAGATTGGAAATTAGGGTGAGGAGGAGATGGGGTGGTGGGAATGAAACAAGGACTGACAGTTCTAAGTCTGGGCTTGCACGCTGGACAGATGGTACTGCCAGCTGAGAGTGCACTGGAAGAGACCAAGTTTGGAGAAGACTATGGGTTCAGTCTTGGATAAGTTGCATTTATGGTGACTTTGAGCTGGACATGTATCCAGCAAGCCATGGGAGTATAGTTGGTAAATGAAATTGAGTATATGAGCATGAGGAAAAATACCTGGAGTTCAGCCCTGAAGGTCTCTCCACTTCCTGGCAGTGTATTCCTACTTATTATAAATGTGTAAGAATATACATAGTTAACTACACAATTTTACCTGCTTTAAAGTTCAAATATAGAAATAATAAACATTGTTCACTCCTTGAGTAATTAATATTAACAATTTTCTATGTACCTTTTTTTAATGGGATTCTGCTATACATACTTTTCAACATTCTGTTTTTTAAAATCAGCAATGTAATAATATTCTTCTCCATCAGGGTACAGACAGTTCTAGCTTACTCATCTGACAGCTAGAAAGTAGCACAAAGGACGACTGCATCACATTTTAGCCAACCCCCAGCCCCCACTGACAGACAGCTGGGTTATCTGGCAGACAGCTGCCTGCCCATTCAATATCTACTGTCTCCTTTCAGCCCTGCTCAGTGAACCCTGATTCCAACAGCAACATGTTCAGCCCCAGGTGATGGTTCATGATTGGGTTAAGCCAGCTGAGATCATCCTTTTCAACTTCCCTTGCAGCTATGGGCAGTCATGTTATCAGGTTCTGGCTAAGGACCCCAAGGAGAAGTCTGTTGTGAGAGTTTCTCGGTAAGCTTTTGCTTTCCTGATAAAAGAGAACTAACACAAATATGGCTCTCTTTCCCTTTTCTTTCTGTTTCGGACATAAATATGATGACTGGAGTTCCAAAAGTCACTTTGCAACTACAAGGCCATAAGCCAGCACTAAGAGTTGTAAAGCAGAAATGCAAAGACAAAGCTTTGGCCCTGATACACAGAGACACACACAAAGCACTGACTCATTTTAAAGAATCCAAATATATTTCCACTTAAAAGCTTGAGAAAGTAAAATGAAATGTTTTACATCAAAGATTCAAGGCAGAACTGTAAGTGATGCCCTACAAAAATAAGAAGCACACTTGGAACAACACAGTGGGGAAAGTACTTTCAACTGTTCCTGAGAATGCCTTTAGGTAAGGGGTCCAGAAACGCCTTTCTGGCTCCCTCCAAGCACATCCCTCTGTCCCACACCTCAACGAGCTGGCCTTTGTACATCATCTCTGACACCTCTTGCTTCCCCTTGTTAGATATTTATTTCTTTTGTCTGATATCTGAAAATGTGCCAAATTAAGAAATAATCTTTTACGTGAAAAGTTGGAAGGCGTTTGATTTGGGTGAGCTGTAAGTTTTTATAAGTCTACAACTAGAATAAGTGAAATATCAGACGTAAAAACTTTTGAAAGGCAAAAAAACCCCTCTTTTTTTGAGAAAAAGTGCTTCCTAACTAATTCTAGAAAATGATTTGTGTTATTTTACTGTAATGGTGATGGTTTCTTCTGTTCTTAATTTTGTCAGCTTCTAATGTTCTGGCAAAAAAATAAGATTAGATTTCTCAAAATTCAGCAACTTACAGCTCAGCTTAAAATAAACATTTAAAAGCTATTAAATTAATAAATTTATACTGTGTGAATAAACTGTAATTTAAAATATTAGACACAAAACAATTTTATGTATAACTCAAGTTGTACACAATCCACATTTATGCTTCTAAACAAATAGAAGCTCACATTTGTACTACTTTTACAGTTTACAAAGTGCTTTTATATACATTTTCTCATTTTCTATTCAAGACAAACATGTGAGATTAATATTCTTATTTCCTAGGTAGAAAGAGAACCAGACATTATTCAGTGCTTTAATCAGTATACAGTATAGCCCTGAGACTTTAGATCTGCAAAGGGTTTTAATAATGCAAATATCACATGTATTTCAATTTTTATCACCATTTTCAAGTTTCCATTTTCTTAACAAAAGAAAACAATGAAAAAGTTTTCCACAATCCAATTTTAAAAATGGGAAATATATACACAGTTGTATACTAACCCAGTGCATGAGAGCTACCAGAAGCAAGTTTACTGAGAATCCTATATTGTTACCTATATACATGGCACCAGTATCAGAACCACATTTAGACAAGTAATTTTTCTACTTCAGAGAAAATACTGCAGGACACTCCTACTGCCTCCAAGCCTAACGTACATATATATGTGTTAAGGTATGCAGGTCGCCAGGAAGGATATAGAAAAATACTTAACCTAAATTTGGAGTTATAGGACCTCTGATTATCCCATCTTAGGCCTCTAGTGGACTTGACAGTTGTTTGGGCATATGTCTCATCTTTAATAATACATATTTTTCTTTTCACACCCCACTTTGTTCATTAAGTATCCTGTACCATTTAGACTAGAAATTCCAACAAGGAGCCTTTCTTTCTGAATTATCTTCCCCACGGTGTAATATTTTCCAGAATTTTCCTTTCCCATTTCTAAATCTTTCTAAATCTTAAAGATATTTCTTTATAGCAGATGAAGGAGATATAGTTTATATTCACTGCAAGAAACAGCTCAGTTCCAGCATGGATTTCCCAGCAAAAAGCTGAGAGAAGAGCTGAACAGAGAGGAAAAGAACAGTGATGACTGGCAGGGCAGTGACACCTGCATTCGGACAGCTGCAGTGCAGGGCTCCAAAGATCTACGGTTGTCCCTCTGTTACTGCGCTGCCAATCTCAGCAGGAAAATTCTGGCTGGTCATGAGTTCCAAGCAGACCAGTATCCTTAAATCACAGGTTCAATGAATCACTCTTCTTGATGCTGTAATGTTTTTATTGTAAAATTTTATCATAATTTATTTGTAATTATGTATAATGTTTTATTGCATTTGAAAATATTTTCAATAAGTATCTTGAGTTTGAGGCCTAGGCTAGGTAATCCTTTTGCACTAGAAATCAGATTTCTCCAACACAACTCCATTGCCAGCAATGGGATTTATCAAAACTACAAATGCCAGCACATTGAATATTTCAATACTGTACTCAATTGTTCATATCTAAATATTTCAGCTATGGAACAAACCAAAGGCGAATGCTTAATATATAGTACAAATCAATAGATTCTTCACAGAAGAAAACAATGAAAGACTAATTTTCTACAATATGTCACCTGTCCATTAGTTCTTCAATAATATTACCTAGGTTATTCCAAAAATAATAAAATTTACACACCACTACCCATGTTTTCTCAACATTTTCTATCTAAGTTCTCAAGGGCATAAACAAGAATGCACAAAGGCAGAATCATTTTTATACCTTTTGATGTTTCTTTTGTTGTACATCTTAAAGTAACGAGTATTAAGGAGACAAGGACAAATGTTCATTTAAGTCATGTCAGTGGTTACATGAATTTTGCTTATATGGCTAGTTGCTCATATAGGTCTTGCAAATGACAAAATAACAAAGTTTGATAAGCTCATCCATGCCCTGTGAACTTGAGTCCACTCACAGCGTAACTGGATTCAGTCACTATTAGTTTTTAAAAATGTTTTTCAAAAGCTGCAAACCACACTTCATTACACAAGTCTGAATCATGAAAGGGTAAATTGTGACACCTCCCTCATGCCACTGACTCTTGGCAGGAAAATTTCTGCAAAAAAAAAACAAGAGTTTCTAAACTCTGTAAAAACACTTACTTGTTTCTATGACTGACCTTCACTCTACAGTCCCTTTGACCCAAGGCACGGTCCCTGGTGCATCTTTTTGAGATTTTGTTTCTGGGAAGTTTTCAGCAAATCTCTCTCGTGCTTTTTCCCAGTTCTTTTTGCTTTTGTTTTGGAGAAGGTGAACATCTTCAATTGAGGATGGTTTGCCTGTCCCAGGCCTGCGTGTGACCGCCGAAGTTGAAGCTGGATCTATTACCAAAAGTTGAGCAGAGAACTTACTGTAGCATCTAAACACATTGAAATCTTCTGTATCCAAGTTGTACTTTAACTATAATTCTGTGATTTAGAAAAGACTGATGCATGAGAAAAAACTGCCAAATGCATCAAACACATACAGGAATACACACATGGCTGTACATGGGGCTTACATTCATTTTTCTACATTGTCTTTCTTGTCAGTAAATACAGCTGACTCTATGGAAATAAGAGTTCTCCTTAAACAGCAATCACCAAATTTCACTGAAATGCTGCAGAATCAGTCTGTCATCCACTCTAACCAGAAGCGAAGGCAAAGGATGTATGTATTTAAACCTACTGAATTAGCCTCACCTAAGTTAATGAACAGGTAGGTTAAACATTAAGTGTCATAAAGAGAGACTTTGATTGTTTATTTTCATAAAAGGAGGGGAAGACTTCTCATTATTTTGAGAAATATCATGAGCTACTTGTTACTGAGTGTCTAATGTAGGTCAGGCACCATCCTAGGGGCTTTATTTTCAGACATCCCTGAAAAAGTTCTCATTATCTCCATTTTTACGCATGAAAACTGAAGCCCAAACGTGCCCTAAGTCACAAATCTAGTGCTAATGCACATATTCTAACCTGACTACAAAACCCATGTTCTTCCCATTGTACCTCAATGAAATGAGAAAATTTACATTAAACTCACATTGATGCATCCATTATTTCTTTAGGTATCAAGTAATTACCAAGAAAGTTCTTTAGTCTTATTACTTTGTAAGGTTTCTGTGAAAGAGAATCTGAACCTCTGACGTACCATGGGACAGCAGAATTAAAGCGCTGTGTGCTTTCCAGACATTATTTGCTACTGCTTGTTACATGTGATGAATCTTGAACCTAAAACAGATTCTCCAGCTAGTGCAGAATCTGCCTGTTTGTAAAGTAACACTGTGATCGTCCCTGCATGTTTAGTACCAGGCATAGTAAAGAAGTCATTAAAAATAACTAAGAGACATAGAAGAACCTCTGACTAAAACATTTACTATCTTAGTTTGTTGAAAGAAAAAACTCTACGAGGGTTCCTAAAAACATTAAAAAGAAAACAATGCATAAACATATATATATACACATACACATATATATATTTGGTAACTGTGATTGCCACAAAGACAATAATCGCATCCTTTTGCTTGCAACAATACTCCTAGCACTTAAGGCAATGCCTGGCATATAGTGATTACACAGTAAATGTATGTGTTGTAAGAATCAAGAATGAAAGAAAACATAAGTCTTACCGGAGTTTTCATTCCTCCACCATCCTTCCCTAGGCCCTCTCCTTTTTTCCAACCCATCTTCTCCAACATCTTCCGACCTTTGTTGCTATCGGTAATTTCACTTTAAAGAAAATTAAGCTGACAGTTGATTTCTAAAAAAGCTATTTAAGTCACATTTATAATTAATTAGTGAATTAAAAATAATTTGTACAACTACTTAAGAAAACTATTTGACATTACCTAATAAAGTTGAAGATACACATATTCTAGCCCTACATATACTGCTTAACAGAAAAGCACATACATGGTGCACCAAAAAGACATGGACAGGAATGTTTATGCAGCAAATCTAATTTTAACCACAAATTAGAAACAATCCAGATGTCCATCAGTGGTAAAGTGGATAAACTGGGGCATATTCATACAAAAGAGTATTACACAGCAATGAAAATAAAACAGACCTAACAAAGTAATGCTGGACAAAAAGAATATCGACACAAAATTAATACTAAATTACTCTACTTATTTAAAATTCAAAAATGAGTGAAATTAATCTGATGCTGTTGGAAGGAGGAGAGAGGAATAGTGATTAGGAAGAGGCACTGGAATGGTAGGTTTCTGGGGTCACTGATAATTTTCTATTTCTTGATCGAGACGTGTATTCTGCAATGTGTTAATCTTATGTCATTGGTACTGATACTTTTATTTGTGGATGCAACATCAATAAAATAGTTAAAACAAAATGAAACTAAGCCCTTATTAACTATTTGCATTTTGTTTTACGATGTTATGGTGTGCTAATTAAAGGGTATTTTATGTTGTATCACATTGTCTTTTCAGTTCTACAGAATACGTTAAATCAGCTCTTCAATAACAATAAACCAAGCAATGTCAGACCAATGTGTTTCATTTTTATTTCTGCCTTCTAATTTAACTATAATGTAATCTTCATATTCTCCAGCAATTATTTTAAAAACACTAGTCATGTTGCTTCATGTACCTAATTTTTAATACTGTATTTCATCAAATCTGGCTCCATAAATTGTAAGATGCACTGTTATTTTATGTTTATCAATGTTATTTTGCTAAAAGAAAAAAACTGAATCAAAGAAAAACAAGTAAGAAAAATACTATTTCAGGGTCAAGAACAAAAGTTGTTGACTATTAAAATAATGATTAAAAATTATCAGTCCATACCAACGTCCTACTAGCCCAGCCTTCTAAATATCTAGTATATAAAAGTATGCTCACTCAATTGAGTGACTAGAATGTTAGCCATGCACACATATGTGTCTAAGTTTGTATGTGTTAAATATGTATGTATACATACTCACATATGTGATCAGTAATCTTCCAGGGAATATAAGAATTCTAATAATAGAGAAAAATGTAAATAGATGTTGAGTTTCCATCTTGTTCTGAATCATTCCTTTCAAGGCCATCTATCAGATTATACAGCCCTATAAATCAGATTAACCTACGAAAGTGATTATGGTACAAAGAATGTTTCAAGCAATTAAAATTTAATACTTACGAATGAATAGATGCAGGAGCATCATCTCTTTGGAAAGTTCCTTCACTTCCAATCTGCTCCCTACGTTTTCCAGCTCTATCTTTGTATTTTGGATTCTTCAATGCCTTTTCATCTTCGTAGTCTGTATTCTTTATAAACACGAAATATTTGAGAAAACAAAACTGATAAATTAAAATATAATGTCCATATATTTGCCTTGCTTAGCAAATATGATTCAATGTTGTCCCTATTAAGCAAGCTATTATATAAATTAAGACATTATGTAATTGAATATTTTTATTCTATCCTCTTTAAAATGTTTATTTCAAGTCATTTCAAGTTGTGTTACAACATAAGTTGTATACAGAAGATAATATAGAGCATATACAAATTGTAACATATTATCATAAGATAATTTAGTGAAAATACAGTATATTTTGCATTAATACTGTGTACTCATATTCTCATATGAACTACCAGTATTCAAAGAAATATGCAGAATCCCTGGGGTTGGAAAAAAAATCTATTTCTCCTTTTCTCTAAGGAACTCCAAGTTCCAAAAGACTAAAATAGTTTGATACTGTTCATTGGAAGAGAAAAATGTTTAGTCTTTAACAAAATGGATAAAAAGCAAATACTGACCATAGCAGCTTTTTGCTCCAACATAGCTTCATTTAATATGATTAGTCACCTGACAAGTATTTTCTGAGTAGAGTATGTTAAGCCCTGTGCCAGGTGACAGAATGCAAAGAAGTTTATAATCCTGAAGCGCAGACACACACAGTCTTTGGCATGTGCAGCATGACCGGCTCAACAACACAGCTATGCACAGATAGGGACAGTGGCACCAAAGGGGTAGGCAATTCAGCTTGGAGCTTCAAAGGCAGCTTTTCTTTCCCTTTGTTATTTATTACTTGATGATCTTTACACAAAAAGTACAACATTTATCCACAAAGAGGCTAGGGACTGCTAGAGCAATGCAAGGAAAGTACCACAGAAGTTTTTACTTAATTTTGCTTTTAAATAGAGAAGAAAAGTATAGAACCACCAACCTTAATGGGTATTTGCCCAGAAAATGATATAGAAACTGAGTTAAAATTTTTGAGAAAGCATTTTGGCAGCATCTTTTCCAACATGTTCATAAAGTGTAAAAAGCAGTGGACAAATACACTTAAGATCTAGCTTCTACTTCTAGCTTTGTCAGTTAGTAGCTGGGGGGACCCTTAGCTTTAGTTTCTCCAAAGTAAACTGACAATATTAATTACTTTCCTGGTCTGCTTATGGGATTAAATTGTAACTTTTTTAACTGCCTCACTGAGGTGTAAATTAACATACAATAAATTACCCATTAAGTGTACAATTAGGTACTTTTCAGATTTGTGTACACTATAAACCATCACAATTAACATCATAACACATTCATTTCCCACAAAAGTAACCTCATCCTTTGTAATCCATCCTTCCAGACCTATGCCCAGTGCATCCTTCCTCTCCTGTATCCAGGCAAATACTTATCTTTCTACCAGGATACATTAGTTTGCTTTCCTAGAACTTCATAGAAATGGAAGTATACAACATGTACAGTTGATTCTTGAACAACATGGGTCTGAACGTCGTGGGTCCACTTACACACAGGTTTTTTTCCAATAGTAAATACTACATTACTACACAATCTGCATTTGGTTAAATCTGCAGATAGAAAATCCCGGATATAGAGGAACTGTGGATATGGAAGGCTGAGTACAAGTTATATGCAGATTTTCAACCAAGGCGAGGGTCCATGTCCCTAATCCCAGTGTTAAATGGTCCAACTGTACTCTTTTTGTCTGGCTCTTTCACTCAGCATAATTATTTTGATATTTGTCCATATTGTAGCCTGTATCAACAGCTTATGCTTTTTTATTGCTGAAGAGAATCTGACCATGTAGAGATAACATAGTTTGTTTATCAATTTATGATGGACACGTGAGTTTTTTTCCAGTTTTTGACTATTAGAAAAAAAGCTGCTGTAAGCATTTGTTTACTAGTCTCTGTATGAACATATGCTTTCATTTCTCTTGGGTAAACACCCTGAAGTAGAATGGTGAATCCTAAAAGTGTAATTTTACTTTTAGAGAATCTACTAAACTGTTTTCCAAAGCAATCATACAATTTTATATTCTCATAAGCAGTTATGAGGGTTCCAGTTCCTCCACATGCCCTTCGTATGGCCAGTCTTTTTAACTGGTTTTAATTTGCATGTCCCTAATGATTAATGACACTGAATATCTTTTCATGTATCTATATGCCATCTGTGCATCTGCTTTGGTGAAGTGTCTATTCAAATCTTTAGCTCATTTTTTAAACTGTTTTCCCTTATTGAATTTTGAAAGTTCTTTACATATTTTAGGTATAAGATGCATGATTTTTATCAGATAGATAAATTACAAATATTTTTCCCAGTCTGTGGCTTATCTTTTTATTCTCTTAATAGTGTCTTCGGAAGAACAGAAGTTTTTGAGGAAGTGCAATTTTTTTTTAAGAATTGTGCATTTGGTGTTTTGGTGTTAGATATTCAAAAAATCTTTGCCCAACTTTTTTTTTTAAAGGTTTACTTCTAGGAGTTTTTTAGTCTTAAGTTTTAAATTTATATGTATAATCTATTTTGAGCTCATTTTTATATGTTATGAGGTATGGATCAAAGTTGTTGTTGTTGGTTTTTGCATATGGCTACCCAATTGTTCCAGCATTGTTTGTTGAAACAAGACCATCCTTTCTCCACTGAACTGCTTTCACATCCTTGTTGAAAATCACACATATACACACAAAAACACACAAACGAGTACACATTTACCTACATATCTATCTGTCTATGTAGGTCTATTTCTGGACTCATTATTCTGTTCCATCAACATATTTGTTTTTCTTTATGCAAATACTATATTGTCTTTATTACTGTAGTTTATAGTAAGTCTTGAAATCAGGAAGTATAAATTCTCCAACTATGTTCTTCAATGGTATCATTTTAATGTTAAGTGTTTTCAAAACCAGAACTGGCTATTCAAACGTAGGGTATCATCATCACTCTTCTACTCCAACATCAACAGTTGCTGAGGTAAACAGTAAACAACTAACAGGAATTACATAAATCTCAAAATCATTCTAAATAGCTCTTTTTATATATAAAATGGACTATACTTATTTAAAGGCAGTTTTTCACAAAACCAGATGCACAGTTTAACACATGCAACAATATTTAACATCCTTACCTGCAAACCATATTTTACTCGTATTTTCTTTAATTCTTTTCTCCTTTCCAACTCTTTCTCCTCCTTACTTAGTGCTGGGCCAACTAAAAGGAAAAAGTGAGTTTCGTTTAAAGAAAAAAAAACTAAACTAAATCTGTTATAATACTGTTTATTTAATAACGAAAAACTAGTAGTATTAGTATCCCATCTGCAGATTAACCAAAAGTCCAAATAAACTAATACAAATGGATCTTGGATTGTGATATATCCTTTCAGCATTTTAGTAATTAAATCGACTAGGAAAATAAACCAAAATCCACAGATTATAGAAATGATACAGTTTAGATACTGAAAGAAACACTGAACATCTTAATTTTTCAATAATTATTGTAACAGAATCCCAAATGCATAAATATTGTGAATTTCCAAAAGAACATAAGCTTATGCAAAGGAACAACCACAGAACCCAAAATTTGTATTATTGTATAATGTGCCATACTCATTTTCATAATCCAGCATCAGAAAACAAAAAATTCACAATGAACATGTATAGCTGAGAAAAAAATGATGTGAAAAAATTATTTCTTAGTAGTTCAAAGTATCTCAGTTTTCAAAGCCTCAGATGAGTAGGTTTAAAGCAAGACAGAAATCTTTGACAATGTTATTTATTATAGAAAATGATATATACACAGATGATATATCAACAACCTAAGTAGGAAAGCAAACACATCAACCAATAACTTTTAATACCTTGGCTTATTATTTTTTCTACGTTGCTATTTTATAACAGAGTTTAACCGTGGGTAACTTTCTCATATCAGTAAATAGATGTTAAAGGAAAACCAATCTTAATTTAATTATGTCACAATTACTCCTCTGAAGGACACCTAGCTACCACTGCAGTGCTGCTTCAAAAGTCTATAAACTGGATTAGCAAAAACAGAGCTAAAGATGATCATTCCTGAAAAGAAAGTAACCTAATGCTATAATAGCACAGCTGAATTATTATATCAAAAAATCAACTACAATCATAATCTACTAGCCTGGGTCTCAAATTTCAAATACATGTCATTTCTTAGGCTCATTTCATAATATTAACTAAAGTATAAATGTATCACAGCAGAGTATTCAATCAATTAGATATGAAGCTGGTAGCTAATTGATACTTTTTTAGAACACTTCAGTGAATTAAGGAGAAAAGTTATCATGCCCACATGTAACAGTAAGTTTCACATACCAAAAGGTTCATCTTTCTTATCAAGACGAAGGTGAGCTCTAACCTGCCCTGGTTCACAGCCATCACAGGTATCACTGCCAGGGTGAATGTGAAAGGACAACACAGTCTCTCCAATTTTCACTTCATCTCCATGCTCGAGTACATATGGGTCACATTTAGTTTTAGGCTAAAGGGGAAAAAATTACAAAACAGAAATCCAAGAGTTAAATATGACTATTTTATTTTATATCTACTGTTAAGTAATGTCTGATTGTAACAAAAAAACATTTGAGACAGTTCTCAATAAGAGACATATACACACACGCTCACATTTCCACAACTTAAGGATGATGCATAATGTTCTACCAGTGGAGAAGACACCTGAACTGAGTAACTTTTAATTTTTATATTATCACAATCTACTTATCTCCCTATCTCCATGCCCAATCCCATCAGAGAAACACCCAATCCAAACTTCAAACAACCTGTTACCAAAACAAGTACTCATCATAGTCAAAAAGATGAAGTGTTAAGAGAATAAGTGCATCATATTTCCCTTTTCCCCTCTTCTTCTCTCTGGTTAATTTAGGGTTTTTAAAATTCTTAGAGAGTAAAAATAAGACTTCCCTCCTTCCATTCCATACATTATCTTATTACGTGCTAAGCACTTTGCCACATGTTGGAGATAGAAGTTACCTGAACAAAGTTCCTGTCTTCAAGGAGTTTCCCGTTTAACATTTCCATTAAAAGTTTTAAAAAAGCCACATACACAAAAACAGCCCCTAACATTGCAATAAGAACTTTTACTCTGAATCACTTTAAAATGCATTTATCTCTAAAAATAAGGGGTAGATATGTAATTAGAAGTCAAAACTCAACAGTCTAGTACTCACTTACTGTATACTTTTTTTAGCCCTTTCTAAGAATTCTCTTCCACATAACACATTTGGGCTTGAACACCAATCTGAACTAAACAATATGTATAATAACTATGGCCCTCAGGGATAAAAAGTTTCAGTTCAGTTTTTTAAAATAATGTGCAAGTATTTAATTACTATACACTCACCTGAAGAATCTGTTTTCCATTAACAATTGTACCATTTTGACTGCCTTGATCCACAAGGACATAACTTTGTAAATCATGGTCAAAATAAATTTCTGCATGAAACTTAAAAAAAGAAACCAGGTAATTATAAAGTATTACATATTTTTTTAAACCACAGATTAAGAATTTCTCTATGATAGGATGCAATAGATTTTAATCTCCGATAATTCAACTTTCACTATTTTTAACACACTTGATTCTGAACACAAAAGTATTATAATGCTTTTGGTAGAAATGTGAGGGCTATAGGAGAAAAGGTTACCTATAATTCCACCTATAATTATCATTAATAATTCAGTGTGTGTCCTACCTTTTCTACTTGTATAATATAGTTGAGATTATACAATACATACAATCTGAAATAATTTTTTCACCTAAGTATTTCTCCATGTCATTACAAACTCTTCTTAATACAAAAGGTGATCTGAGGCATTCAAGGTCATCTTCTCAGAGAAGTTTTCCAGATTCCAGTACTCAGGACTAATCACTCCCTTCTGTTTCACAGCACTTTGTTTATATAACACTTATATGAAGTTACTGCATATATGATGCTACTGCATATGTAAATGTCACTGTACTGCTTACAATCATTGCTTACAGTAGTTTACAATTTGCTTACCACTTAGTACATAATATAGTGCCTCACATATATTGGGCATATGTTCAATATGTCTACTTATACTGGATAAAAAGTTGCAGAAATATTTACTTTAAAATTTCACAGCAGCGAGGGTATAGCTCAGTGGTAGAGAGCACGCCTAGCATGCATGAGGTCCCAGGTTCAATCCCTGGCACCTCCACCAAAAGTAATAAATAGATAGATAAACCTATTACCTCCCCCAACACAAAAAATTAAAAAAAAAATAAAATTTAAAAATTTTCATAAACAATACACTGTTGGTGGGAATGTAGAACTGTGCAGCTGCCTTTGGGGGTTGGGGGGATCTGACAGTTCCTCAATAGGTTAAAGAGAGTTACCATATGACTCAATAATTCTACTCCAAGGTTGATATCAAGAGAAATGAAAACATATATCCAAACAAAAACTTGTACAAGGATGTGCACAGCAGCATTATTCTTAATAACCAAAAATTTGGAACAATTCAAATATCCATCAATTGATGAACAGATAAACAAAATATACTACATCTGAACAACAGAACATTATTTGGCAGTAAAAAGAAGTGAAATACTGATGCATGCTACAACATGGACGAATCCTGAAGACATGCTAAATGAAAAAGTTACTTACAAAAGAATACATACTATATGATTTGATTTATATGAAATGTGCAGAACAGGCAAATCCATAGACACAGGAAGTAGACTGATGGTTGCCTAGAGCTACAGGGGTTAGGAGGAAACAGGGAGAGACTACTATTAAGTATGATTTTTTTTTTCATGGTGATGAAAATGTCCTAAAACTGACTGTAGTGACGGTTGTATAACTGTGAATAAACTAAAAACCTCTGAGTTATGCACTTTAAATGGGTAAACCATATATGGTATATAAACTGTACCTCAATAAAGCTGTTTAAAGGATTCCATAAAGGTATTACAAAATGTTTTGAACACACAAAATATATTTAACCTGTCTACCCATAACACAGCTTTAATAAATTTTGCCATATTTGCCTCAGATATTTAAAAGAAAATAAATTATTATTCATCAATGTGTACCTCACTCTGTCTATCCCTCACCCTTTCTTTCAGAGGTTTGATGTTTATTTTAATCATGATGCAACTCTTTATGCTTTTACCACATAATGTATGTATCCATAAAAAATGTTTATTTTGTCTAGTTTGGAATTTGATATAAGTGGAAAACATACTATGTGAATTTTGTATTGAGATGTAATTTATAGACAGGAAATTCATGGGTCTAAATGTACAGCTTGATGAATTCTGACAAATGTATACTACAGAATATATTTCATTTATTTTGCTTCTTTGACTTAACATGATGTTGTGAGGTATACCCAGCTGTTGCGCACAGCTGTGCTATTTTGCTGAATGGTAATACATTATATTGTAGTACCATAATCTACATATACTTCTGATGACAACATCTAGGTTTCTTCTAAGGTTTTACTATTTTTTTAAATGTTGCTATGAACATTCTTGTACATGCATCCTTCTTGTGGACATGCCAAGTGTTTCTCTGGGGTATACACTTAGAAATGAAATTGCTAAGCCATAGGACATGCAAGCCTTAAACTTTATTAGAAAAGGCCATATGATTTTCCAAAGTGGTTGTACCAATTTATATTCCCAACAACAGTCTGTAAAAATTCTTAGTTACACTGTATAGTCTTAACCAACACTTGGTATTGTCAGAATTTTTCATTTTTAAAAGCCTAATGGGTATGAAATGAAATCTCATCACTGTAATTATAATTTGCGTTTTTCTGATTACTGCTGAGGCTGAAACCTTTTTTTATATTAGCCATTTGGATTTCCTCTGCTGTCAATTTTCTCTTCATGTCCACCATACATTTTTTTCAATTGGGTTGTTTAGAATGACAACTGTATCAAAGGATTTACTCCAAAGAGCTGTTCTAAATTATGCCCTCAACAGGAATGATATTTAATAAATATCATTTATTTAATATAATGAATAAAAACTGACATCTTGGTTTCACTTGTATTTCTTAAATTACTATAAATACTGAATGATTTTCAAATGTTAACCATATTTCCTCTACTGTGAACTGCTTATTTATGTTCTTCACTCATTCATCTTTTGGTGTCACAGTGGGTTTGAAAACTAAATTTGCATGAGCTTTTAAAATATAAAGGAGATTTATTTTGTCAAATCTGTCCTGACTGTCCTAGTTTGCCTTTTAAATTTGTTTCTTAATATATAAAGAACTTCAGGCTTAAATTATTCAAAATTACCTTGTCTTCTGTGATTCTCACCCACATCCCCCAGTTTTTTTTAAACTTAGAAGATCCTCTCCTACTCACTGGTTAAAAATTTGTTTGTCTTTCCTATAATATTAAGTGTGTGTGTAGAGGGTTAATTTAATTTTTTGCTATACCTGGGTATGTGTGATAATATACTGTCAAACTGATTTCACACAGCTAACAAATTATCTACCCCACCAGATGTTTGTTTAAAAGAAAGAAAAAACAGAAATGCCACCAGAGAACTACCTATTTTTTAGACTGGTGTGGAGAAATTTCCTATTTAAGTTACAGACTGGGTTTTCTTTGGATGCAGAAGAATCAAGGGTCATAGGAAAGTTTTAAAAAAGTAAGATAATTAAGTCAGAGTTAAGATTATGAGGATTTCCCTCCCTCTAAATGAGCTGAAATAAAGTAAAAATAATTATACTTTCAAACTAGTAAGAGGAAACAGGTTCCATCCCCAAAAGCCAAAAAAATCACAGTATGTATTTTAGAATCATTTTAGAGTCTTTTTAATAGAAACAAAATGGGGATGATGAAAGGCCAAAAAAGAAAAAGCGAAAAGATAACAGTCATAAAAGGAATGGGTAAAATTACAGAAAATATAATAAGGAAATAAGATAAGTATGAAGTATCCAGAGTTTTTGGCAGCTAAACCTTTAGTTTTTTTCTATTTATAACTTAAGCTGCAACTCTGTTCTTGTAATTTATTTTGGAAAACCCAATTTTTCTTTTTCCTGAAACCATTAGAGATTCAACTAGGAAAAGCTATAAAATGGAGAGCCCTGGATGGTAGAAGACAGACTGTTCCTGAATTGTAAAATACTCTGGACTCAAAGTAACCATGCACTAAAGTAGCCTGAATCTAGGACTGATTTATTTTTGAACTGCCATAATATCTAGCATATGTATTTCACTCAATAAATATTTGTTAAATGAGTATTACCTTAATACTTAAATTAATACACACTTTCTACTCCTGCCCCAGACTGTTAAAAATTAAACATAATTTAGTTCATCCAAATTGTGATAAAGAATTTTTATTTTCTCAAGCAGTGGAATAAACAAATCTGCATTGCTTTCAGTTCCATTACCATACTATTAACCTTTCTTTTTAATGGCAAAATCCCTCAGCTTTCTGCCATAATAATGATTTATAAAAATCACATTACGGGGCTCTATATGAAAATTCTAAGAGCTTACCTTACTGACACCAACTTCAGGAATTCGGAGAGTATGCTCCATATCTTTTTCCCTGCAGAGTTAAGTAAAACGTCTTTAATAATTTTTGAAGCATATATAAATGGTGCACTTACAGTGACACAGAATTTTTTTTAAAAGATAATTTTTTTTTGTTTTAAAAGATGTTAGAAATAGATTCACAGACACAGAAAACAAACTGTGGTTGCCAGGGAGGAAAGAAGGGAGGGATAGACTGGGAGTTTGGGACTGACAGATACACATTACTATATGTGAAGTGGATAAACAACAAGGACTTACTGTAAAGCACAGGGAACTATATTCAATTTCTTATAATGAGCCATAATGAAAAAGAAACCGAAAATACATAGATATATGTATGTATATGTATAATTGAATCATTTTGCTGTACACCTGAAGCTAACACTGTAAACTGACTACACTTCAATAAAAAAAACTTTTTAAAGGAAAAAAAAAAAAGGAAACATTAAACTACAAGTCTCTCTACCACACTAAATCTGGCTTCCATAATTCTACTCTAAATTTCCTATTTAAAAGGAGGTTCCAAATTACTTTCATTCTTTGGTACACCTGTCAGAGGCTAATAAACATCCAATGGGATAAAATATTCTTTTTACTAATGTCAATCATTTATTCCAGATCTATTGACTATGTTTCCACTTCTATTACTACATGTAAGAGGAGTATACTATTCTCCAAGAATTCAAAATTAAGATAGCATATGGAATCTGAATTAACAATACATTATCTTTCCAGTTGGGAAGAAAGGAAGTTATTCTATTCATGATTAAAACCTACCTCTCTCCAAGCTGGTTATGATTTACAAAGGGGTAAAGGAGAAGAATCAGTGAAGGCCAATACTGGGAATAAGTAATTTAAACCTAAAAAGGGCAGTATGAAAAGTAAGAAAATAACAAAATCTCTGTAGACGGTATCACCAATGGGGACAATGATATCTCCAATATCTCCAACTGACTTCCAAAAGCAAGTAACAAAAGGTTAAGTGTCAGTAGTATTTTCTGTGTGGCAGAGAGAGGGATGTGGGTGTTATCTTTTGGCTACTGAACAAGTACCATGCACATTTAATGATTAACTGCTCAAGGGGAGAAGGGTATAGCTCAGTGGTAAAGCACATGCTTAGCATGCATGAAGTCCTGGGTTCAATCCCCAGTATCCTCATTAAAAAATAAATAAGTAAATAAATAACTTAATTAACCCCCCCCAAAAAAACCCAAATAAAAAATGTAATTAAAAAGTGAAAATGAAATTAAAAAAGAAATTATTAACTGCTCAAGAAAAGTACAAACCACTGGAATAAGACAAATACACAAATACAATATTAAACACTTTTACCTTCCAATTGTAGCAGGGTTTACAGCTGTAATAATAAAAAGTGATCCTGTCTGCAATACAGGTGATCTAATAACAATTACTCTAATACATGGGGGCCAAATCTTTTCTTCATCTGCCAAAGAAACATATGGGTAAATATTAATTCAAATGGTATGGAAAAAATTAGAAATGTCTAGGGATGAGAAGGCTAAGTCATCCATAAAATAAAACATACTGATCAAAACTCTTTTCTGTTTAAAACAACCTTCTTGAATTCTGCTAATGACATAAACAATGAGTAAGACAGTAAGTAAGAAAATGCTCAACCTAAAGATATTAACATCTACCACACTGTAAAATAATCAACTCTCTCTCAAGGTCTTAGAATTTGAAAATACCCCCAAAAAGCATTGTTATACTAAGTAAGAAAAACTGAGTCTGCCCTTAAAAAAAAATTTGACAGACATTCCTTAACAACAGAATAAGCTTATACACACTAATATGAAATCCTGGGTTTTAAAAGTATGTCTCTATATCATCAAATAAAATAAATAAAATTTGCCATAATATCTATGTAGCTGAATTTATGGACTACTTCTAAAGGCAATTTGCTTTCCCTCCTTCAATTACAAAAGTAGATGACAAATATCTAATCCACTAAAATAGACTTAATACACATTTTAGGATTAGAGAGTAGGTAACTTGTGTTCTACTGATTAGACCATCCAATGCACTGAAAGGTCCAAGTACTAAACTAAATCAGCTCACTTTTTGGCAGATATGGGTCACTAACATTTGTAACTATGTTGCACTTTTATAATGACTAGACTGGGTTATATATGTAAAACTAAACAATGGTGATTTACTCACCTTCATCTTCAGTATCTTCTGCAGTTACACTGTCTTCACTGGTAATGTCTTCATCGTAACTGTCCTCAGTCTGAGAGTCTGTTATTTCACCTTCTTCTGGCTCGCTATCAGTGTCTATGATTTTCTTATCTTTAAATGAAGCCGAATTATAAATGTTTTCATTAAGAGGAGATTCTGTAGTCTTTGTGCTAACTGGAACAGTAAACACGGGGGAGCCGTTTTTGTAATGAATATTTATTTTGGCCTTCTTTTTCACATTTGCAAAATCTTCTCCTTCAATACAGCTTATGTGGTCAATACTGGATGTTTTTTGATCTTCTGAATTCAAATTCTGGAAAGAGGTAGGAAGAAGAGAGAATAATCTTAAACATGACCATCATATAATGTTTAATGTTAAATGTTACAATGAGTTAGTGAAAATGTATGTACAGTGAAATAACAATAGCTATTATCTCTACTGCCTCTTCCTCTCATGTTCCCTTTCTCATTTAATGATGCTACCATCCATTTACCCAAGTCAAAGTCTGACATGCCCTTAAACACAACATTGGTGCCCTTAAACACCAATTACCAAGTGCTATAGACTATGTTTACAATTTATCCCAATTATCTCCCCTTATCTATTCTCAATATCTTAACTGTCTCTGTCTAGTACCTCATCACATATTGCTTGGACTATGTGACAGCGTAGATCAATGCTGTCCAATAAAAATATAATGCAAGCTATATTTGTACTCTAAAATTTTCCAGTAGGCACATTACAAAGGTAAAATGAAGCAGGTAATCCATTGTGTTATTTTATCTAACCCAGTATTTATAAAATATAATTATATACATAAATTAATATTTAATCAATATAAAATTATTAAGGAAATATTTTACATGGATTTTCTGTACTAAGTCTTCATAACTGAGTGTAGTTTACACTTACAAAATATCTTAATTAGGACCAGCTGTATTTCAAGCATTCAATAGCCACATGTAGCTGACTGAACAACGCAGGCCTAGAGAATACAACTAAACCTAAATTTTCTTTTTGAACTTTGAATCAATTATCAAGTCAACATACATAACATAAAAGTGGCTTTAATTAAGGCAGGGATTTAAAGATCCAAATATACCTAATGTAGCAGAACTGAAGTTTTGCTAAAATTTAATACTTTATAGAGTTGGTCTGACGATACACAAAAAGTACAGCTGAATCAGTTACATCTTTTATTCTAAGATTCTAACATATCTGGCATAAGCCTTTTATAATTTATTATATATGCTTATCGGGCATGCCTTAGGACAAATGAACAAATCTATTACTTTAACCTTAGAAGAAAGTTATTTTCCTCTGGTGTAGAGCACACTCTGAATTTTCTTTCTGCCTCAGAGCAACATGATCAAGTATATTCATATGTTCTATTATTTTATAAAATAAGAGAGCATCTTAAACACATATTTTTAATAGCAGTATAAATTCAGTTTGGAGACTGGCTAAACACTCAGACAGCGTGATAAACTGGATGTAATTTCAGCAGCACGAACTCACCAAGGACAAGAACAAGGGCAAGAACTAAAAAACTCTGAGGAACTTTAAAGCCATTGTGAATTACAGCCAAAAAATTTCCCTATCTAAATATACCTTTTAAAAAAAGCAGTTTCCAATCTTGTATATTTTATTATTACTACCTACAGAACAACACATGCAGAGGAAAAATAAGTGAAATTGCAAGAGGTGTTACTTTTTAAAAACTATCTGTCAGTCTAGAACATTAGATAAATATTCATTAAAATATAAGAAACGCCTAGGGCCTACATGTAGGCATTTAGGTATATACACATATTTCAAGTTACTTATTCCAATCTCCTCACCCTACCTCCTTTCTTCCACATATTCTATGCTTCTAAAAAGTAAGGCTCAAAAATATCTTAAAACTAAAGAAAAAGATAAGGATGTCCTAACCAGTCTCTGCCCACGTTTCACAGCTACGTCTGAGAATCCTTAGGGACTTCTCAAAATTCCATCAGGTATTTTCTTAAGTCCCTGTCCTGAATTTAACATATTTTTGAAGAAGGATGGTAAAGATGAACAATTATAGGAGCTAAGCTGGACCAAAATCTCACAGAATGCTTTCAAATTTCATTCTCTAGCTTGTCAGGAACAGTCATTTGAGGACCTCAATATGTTCTTTTCTTTGTTAGAGAAAAATAGTTCCATAATGTATCCTTTCTAACAGTTCAACCACTGGTAACAGATATGAGTCATTAAAACAGGTTTTAAAGCAAAAAATCACCTTTAGTATTTTAGTTACATACTCTTCAATGCCCAGGTATTGTCAGTGAAAATAATAGAGAAATAAAAACAAATCAAATAGAGAATTGAGATAAAACTTCAAGAATAGGGGAGGTAGCCAAGATGGCAAAGTAGAAAGACCCTGAACCCACCTCCTCCCATAAACAAACCAAAATTACAACTACTCACACAGCAACTACCTACGAGAATAACCTGAACATTAGCAGAAAAGATTTCCCAAACTAAAGACATAAAGAAGGAACTACATGAGATGGGTAGGAGGCATAGAGACCCACACCCCTGGGTACTCCCTTCCACACTGTGAACTGTGCTCTGGTGGTTAAAAAAAGACAAGATTATCAAGCGTTCTGTATTAACAGTGTGGATGCAGAAAATTTTTTCAGATGGATAAAATGTTTATGGTACAGAGGTAAAGTTTCCTATGCAAAAAATTGTGTACAACTTTCTATGCAATACTGATTCTCATCTGGCATATTCTAATCAGGCTGTAGGCCAATAAAGTTTTTGGATTACTTAATTAGTAATATCAAAACCTGTTAAAAAATAAAAAAAATGGAAAGAATATCACAGTGACAGAGGTCCTTCCCAAGGAGCAATGAATCTGAACCCCCAGTGGGGCTCCCCATCGTGGGAGATCCTACACTAGAAAGAAAGACACACACACACACACACACACACATATACACACAATGGAATATTACTCAGCTATTAAAAATGAAATCTTACCATCTGCAACAACAAGGATGACCCTAGAGGGTATTATGCTAAGTGAAATAAGTCAGACAGAGAAAGACAAATACCTAATGAACTCACCTGCATATGCAATCAAAAAAACAAAAGGAAAACAAACTCAGAGAACAAATGCATGGTTGCCAGAGGGAGGGAGTTGGAGGTGGAGGCAAAAGAGATAAAAGGGATTAGGAGGTACAAATCTTCAGTTATAAAATAAATTAGCCGTGGGAATGTAACATACAGCATAAGGAATATGGTCAGTAATACTGTAATAACTTTTTATGTGGCTACACGACGGTTACTATACCTACCATGGTGATCATTTCATAACACATATAAAAGTCAAATCACTAAGTAGTACACCTAAAACTAATGTAATATTGCACATAACTATACTTCAAAAAAAATTAAAAGTTAAGTATTTAATAGTTGCCAAACTTCACGAAATGCCAATATAGTAAATAAGCCTCCTTTCCTACCTATAAACCACCAACCTTATTCTGTTTAAGGAGCAGAAATAAAAGCCTTGATAAAATTTTATTTTCCTTCTTTAAATTTAACATTGTATCATAAGCATTTAAAGAGTTCCCCTCAGT